CTAATAAAAAAGCGGCTTTTCTTGTCTTGGTGTGAGCTGCTTCTCCAGTTGGCTTACTGCTTCTACTTTTCTGTTCCTTTTTTTTTTTTTTTTTTCTTTTTCATTAGTTCGTGTTTACAGCATACACTGTCTGCACTCTTGTGGGGGAATAGTACATGCACATACCACATCTCAGTTCTTTTTCAGCCCCTTCCCTCAGCCATCCCTCCATCTCTTGATCCCTTCCCATTTGAGAAAAACCTGCCTCCTTATGTTGTATTATCTTTTATTTTGCTCTGTATTTATATTTTGAATTTATCATATAAGAGAAACTATGTCATATTTGAGTTTATGTGCCTGATTTATTTAACAGTGTGGTCGCAAGGTTCATCCAACTTCCTCCCAGTAACCCAAGATTATCCTTCTTCATGGAAGAGTAGTACTTGGCTGTGTATAAATACTGCATTTTCTTTATCTGCTTATCTCTTGGTGGACACTTTAGGTGTTCTGTTCCCACTCTTAAAATGGTGACTTTTCTTTTTACTTTCCCCAGCGACATGCAGGATTGCATTCATTGGGCACGGTTCTTTTTTATATCTGCCTCTGTCTCTGTGCTTTCTCTGCCTCTTAGCTGTTTGGCTTCAGGAAAATCACTCTCTCTATCCTTTTTTTCTTCTCTATGGCAGTGAAAGGAAAAAGAAAGAAAAACAAGGGAATGTTGAGATTTGTCCCTGAGGGGCCAGGGAGATGGCTCAGTAGAATAAGCACTTGCCTAGCAGGCGCAAGGGCCTGAGTTCAATTCCCAGTTCCACAAAAAAAAAAAAAAAAAAAAAAAAAGTCCCTGAAAGCTGTAACAAATAGCAGTTTGCTTAAATTAAATATTAAAATGTAAGCTGTGTATTGGCCCATTTTGTAGATGACATGCAATAGCACAGAGTAGGTAACTTATAAAGAAAGGAAGATTATTTTGGGCCACAGGCCTGACCCATGGCCGAGGGTGGCATCTAGTTATGTTTTCCTGCTGGTAGAGTCCTAAGGTGGCTTGAGGAATTACATAGCGGGGGACAGGGTGTGTGCATTGTATATCTTGGTCACTCTCCTCCCTTTCCCTAGAAAGCCACCAGGATGCCATCATGGGGCCCCACCACACTGGCCTTATCTAGTCTGAGTCATTACCCAGTGGGGCTTACATTTCCACCCTCTTAATTCTTAAGAGTGGGGATTAAATTGCAGCATGAATTTCAGAGGGGAGAAGCCATAGCAAATCATACAGTTATGATTTTGCAGTTAAATTTTACAAGTGTGTCTAGGTACCCAAATCCAGAATCCATTGGCATTTGGAGAACAAATTATATGAGTTATTTTATAGAACATCCCTCAATTTAAATTTGTCATGAGCCATGGGGATGCTCATTGTCAGCTCTTCAGGGGGCCTTCTGGCCATTGAGTCTTTGTATCTCATGATTAAAGTCAGTTTTTTTGTTTTTTTGTTGGAACTGGGGATTGAACTCAGGCCCTTGCCCTTACGAGGGAAGCGCTTATTCCACTGGGCCCTCTTCCCTAACCCTCATAATTAAATTAAGGCTGACCATTGATGGCAAGAACACTGTGGAGTGGCAGGAGCCGTAGGGAATGAACTGCCTGGCAACAGAGGCACAACACATCCTTTTCCATCAAGTTAACTTCAATGCTTTGGTTGAGATACTGTCTACTAGATTTCTGCATTGTAAAAATAATATTTTCTTTTTGTTGAAAATACAGTAATTTGAGGGAGTGACACTTTCAGATTCTGTGACTATCTTATTCACAATGATTTTTCATGCCATATTTCTATCATCTATTGGTGTCCCTTGCCGAAGATAATAATTATTCTGGTGATGCCATGATAGTGATTCTTTTAAGTTTTGTAATTTCTCTACATTAATGGGTATTTTTTCTGAAGATGAGTCTTCTCCACTTTGAAAAATCAGGGACATCATGGACTTGTGGACTTCTAAAATTTTAAGTGACAGTAACACACATTTACAATTCATTTCTAACATTCATCATTTTCATGTTTCACTTTTTCCATATTTGGCCACCAGAAGCCTCTACACGAAAGGTTTTTGAAAGTTACTGAGTGAATGAAATAGTGTGAAAGTAAGGAATGGTCTGTATGTTTACAATGCCTTTCTTCTCCCGAGCATCTGTTTGTCAATCTAACATGAATGTATTCCTGTTTTTCTCTAGGTCTCATGGATTAATTGGCTCCCATTCAGCAGGAACCTAACAGATAAATCCTTCTGCTGTGTATCAAGACAATGTTTGTGACAAGGATTACTGCTGTGTTGTGGTGTCACACTGTTAGAAGAGGACAAGCAGCTTGAGAATTTCCTGTAATTTGTATTGCAGCTTGAAGGAGACCCCTTTCCATTAAGTAAGACTGAATGGCCAGCAGCCCCCACTGAAGAGCTGACAATGAGCATCCCTGTGGCTCCAAAGAAATCATGTTTCAATCAGTTGCAGGACAACAGAAATGGAGCAAAAAATAATAATGAGAGTCTTCTAAGTCTGGGAGATACAAATGCCAATCAAATCATGGTGGAGGTCAGCTCCCCTCAGGATGAATCCAAGACTTGTGATCTGGCTGAGAAAATTGGAAATGCAAATTCAAGCGGGCTGGAGCACCATCTTCACTTCCAGAAGGAGCCTCATCAACTTCAAGGCCTTAGGAGAGGGTCTCTGGCTGGCTCCACAAATCTGAAAGATCTTAAACTTTCTCCTGCTTTTCCAAGAGGATTCCATGAAGATGGTGCCATGGAGAGAGGCACAGGGATCTCACTGATGCCTCAGAGTGCCCAGGGGCCAAGCCTGACAAGTTGGAGGAACATGAGGGGTGAGGCCAGTTCAGATGTTTTGGCTAAAAAGGATGTAGAAGTGCCCTGGCATGTTCCAAAGGACAAATTGGCCAAGACCCTTGACAACGAAGAGTTGAGAAGGCATTCTTTGGAAAGAGCAAGCAGCTCTGCAGTTGTGGCTGGGAGCTTGACTTCACAGCCTCCGAAGCTTGCGAGGCCCAGTACCCCTGAGCCGTGGGGTCATGTGCCCAGGTGTGGGGAGGAGCAGCAGAGAACACTGGCTGCCCACTCTCCAGAGACAGCTTTTCTTCCAGCTTACAGTACCTCAGAGAGAAAGAGTATGCATCCTCCTGAACCATCTACCTCAGAAGCCGGGGATACCATCCCCTCGGAGGCCTGGATGGAGGGGGCACATGAACTAAATGTTTGCAATGAGCACAAATCACGTTCCACCCATTCTGAACCTGCTTTGAATTCAACTTTGTTGTCTAAGGAAATCCTGAGTTATCCTGAAGCACAGTTAGGTCAGGGAAAGGGAGAACTGAAGCTGGAACGGAAGTATGTTCAACTCAGGGCTGGGGAGGAGCTACAGCCAACTCAGGCCGGTGACCTGGGATATCAGAAGGAAGAGACTGTGGCTCCTCCAGAGAGAAAGGAGACATGTGGGGAAGCACACCAAGAAGCCACCAGTGCCAACAGCAGTCCATCAGACAGCATCTGCCATCATCTTGGGGTGGGCAGATGCAGCAGCGAGGAGACAGAAGTCAAGACAGGTGTGGAGGAGTCTCTCCAAACCACACTCAGATCTGTCCCTGCTTCCTTGGGAGTGGCTGGTAATCAGTTCACTAGCAAAATGTCACTAAGCACGGGAAGTAAATTTGGTGAAATGACATCCAGCAACTTTTCTCCAGGTGATGGCCATGTAGCCAGTGTTCCTAATGGCCTGCCTGATTGCAAGTCCTCTGATGTCAGTGAGGAGAAAAGGAGGCTGGACGCTGGGAACAGGGATGGTGCTGTGGAGTTTGTATCAGACCATTCTGTGGGAGAGAGCAAAACTGAGGTTCTTGAGTCCCTGTATCTTCAAAGCAGAAGCACAGAAGTAGGGGAAAGCAAAGATACAGCAACACTTGGGACTGAACCTAGGAACCTTCTAGAAAAGGAATCCAAGACTGATATTACTCCATCTAGAGAAGATTCATTTCTCAATACCCCAGTTACCCTTCACCCAGAGACAACTGTGAATATGACCCACCAGCCCACACCGCCCAGTAGCATTTTCCAGGCCCCTGGTATGTTGAGTGTGGATACAGGGTCACCCTCAGTGATCCCATCCTCCACTGAGAGTGTGCAGCTGTTGAACACATCCCCGAAAGTGCCTGACAAGAACACCTGCCCCAGTGGGATCCCTAAGCCTGTTGTCACACATTCCAAGGGCACAACTTCCTTGCAGGAAGGAATGGAGAAACAGGTTGAGAAAATGGAAGACAGAACAGAAACAAAACCTATCATTATGCCCAAGCCCAAGCACGTGAGGCCTAAGATCATCACTTACATCCGGAGGAACCCACAGGCCCTGGGCCCTGTGGACACTTCACTGGTTTCTGTGGGGCTTCCTTATGCCCCGCCCCCGTGTAGCATGGCCCCACCCCAGGAAGACAGGGTGGCAAGTAGTGACCTTAAATCGTCTGCCAACCTCTATGAGAAATTCAAACCTGATTTACAGAAGCCCAGGGTTTTCAGTTCTGGATTGATGGTATCTGGGATCAAGCCCCCAGGACATCATTTCAGTCAAATGAGTGAGAAGTTTTTACAGGAGGTAAGTCACAGCACTGTGATACATCTATAAAGTGAGTGGTGGTTCTAAGCAAATTGCAGCTGTTAATGGATACATTTATATAGAAGTAGGTGGTTTTGACCTGCCGCAGAGTTGTCTAGAGCAATGCATATCTCATACTGCTGCTTGGTTTTAGTAAACATAATTGCTACTAACACTTAGTTGAGTGCTCACTGTGTATTGAGTGCACATAATGTATAGTACACAATCCTCATTCTTCACTAATCCATAGAGTAATTTTCTGAAAGATGATACTGTACCTTTTGTCACTGCACACAGAAAGAAACAGACTTGGACAGGTTGAAGTTACCCACATTGTGCCACAAAACAGGGACAGCATAGAGATTCTCACTCAGGCCAGAGCTGTTCAGCGATACTGTGCTGTAAGATTTATCTCCTGTAGGAATCTCTCTCTTTGTGGTCCGAGACAGTTGCTTTTAGTGAAGGTACATCAGGTCAACTTTTACCTGTTGGCCTCAGGGACATGATGTGGGACTTATGTAATGGCTCAGCCTCTTATATGAGCTCAGCATAACTCCATTGCCTATCTGCCCTGGTCCCTGCTCATTCTTCCTTTGTCACTGAGCTGCTGCAGGACCTTTGTCCTCCTGTTCAGAATGCTCATTTCCCAGTTCTCTCAATGTCCTCTCCCTTACTTTCTTTTATTCTGTGTCCAGAGGTCATCTCTTTGAACAGTTTGTCCATGTTCCCAGGAGTCCATTTTGTCTAGTTTATTTTTTTCCTAGATCTTAACTTCAACTGACATATATTTTGTTGCTGCTTCCTGTGCTCACTGGAATGTAAATTTCACAGGTGGGTGGAATTTTTCAAGGTTCTTCCGTACTATGTTCCCAGAGTTTAGAATGGTAACTGCTACCGAGATGTGCTGTTCAGGGCTGGTGGTGTAGCTCAGGGGTAGATGTTTGACTAAAATTTGTGAGGCCCTAAATTTCATTCCTAGCACTGAAAACAAAAACATGATAGCTAAATTAGGCAACTAACTTGTATCACTAGATTCAAAAAATATAGAAGACTAAAAGGTAGAATAAGCTCAAAGCTGGGCTCTAGCTTGGATGAATGCATTGACTTGTTTATTTATTTTTACTTATTTTTATTTTCAAGGAAAGGAAAAAAACAATGATATAAAATTTCAAAACAACACAGCTTAGGGTACTGTGTGAATTTTAATAGTGTTACCCTTTAATCAAAAATAGGAGTGAGAGGGCCGGCAAGATAGCTCAGCAGACTAAGCACTTGCTTAGGTGAGCGCAGGGCCCAGGGTTTGATCCCTGGCACCGCGTGCCATGCCGGCCCTGCCCCTGGGCGTGCTGAGCCAGTGATGCAGTTCAGGTATGGTGGTGAATGCCTGCAATCCCAGCCGTAGGAGGGTGGAAAATAGGATCACTATGAGTCCGAGCTGCATAGTGAGACCCTGCGCGCGCGTGCGCCCACACACGTGCGCGAGCACACACACACACACACACACACACACACACACACAAAGGAGTGGGGGTCCCTTGGCCAGTTGCTCCTGTAGTTAAGTATGGTATAACCTAACTGGGCCCCTCCTGTGTGCAGGCTCAGTGCAGGGAGATCTGAAAGCTCCCCTCCCTTCCAGTATGCTCAGGCTCCATGGGGTCACTATGTAGGTGAACATGTTTCTGACCAGTTATATCAGAAATACTTTTCTATTACAGAAGCCATGCATTTTTTAATGCAGTAGGAAAAATTCTTAAAATCTCAAACTAGTTTTGGACTTTTCTGGTGTTACTGACAGGTCTCTCTTGGATAGTGCAGATAGAAACAGAAATCAAGAGGAAGGCTTATCTGAGGGAAGGCGCTCTTCCCTTGGGAAGATCAGCACAGACACCAAGAGTTTCCAGAAGTGGTTTTTGAGACCATCTGGAGTCTAGTCAGGCCAAGGTGATGAAATGCATGCACTGGTCTCTTCTTAAGGCCCTCCAGAGATCTCAGGGTCCCTCTCTCTCTCTGTGCCTTAGGAGTGCTTTTCATTTTTGATGAAAGGAAATAGAAGGAATCAAGAGCAAACAGATAGGGAGTATTTCACAGTATGCAGATGTGAGATCAGGGCTTGTCCCTGACTGCTTCTGCCTCTACTCATCTCTGAGGGCATATACAGACTTTTTCTTCTCTTTATTCCCTAGACAATATAGTTCAGCAATTATGTACATAGTATCTACATTGTATTAGATATTAACAGTAATCTAAGGATAATTTAAAGTATGTGGGAGAATGTATGTAGGTTTTATGCAAGTGACATACCAATGTAGATAAGAGATTTGAACACCCATACTGTGCAATTTGGTATCCATTGTAGATCCTGGAACCAATGTCTCAGATACCAAGAAATGAATGTGTTTTTGAAAAATGGCTCACGTGATTGTGGAAGCTGGCAAGTCCCAAATCTACAGGGCAGGCTGGCAGCCCAAATTCTTAGAAAAGATTGTGTACTGCAGTTTGAGTCTGAATCACCCTTCAGGGGAAAGTCAGCCTATTTTTCATTAAGGTCTTCAATTGATTAAAGTATATCTTAGGTCATAAGGGATAATCTGCTTTATTCAGGGTCTGTTGACTTAAATGTTAACCCCACCTAAGGAACACTTTCACAGCAGTAATGTTTGTTTCTAGAATAATGTCTTGTTTTTCTCATTGCCAAAACAAAATACCCAATGCCCCAAGTGAAGGAGCGGAAGGTTTATTTGGCTCACAGTCTGTAGGGTTTTCAGTCCATAATTGGCTGGCTCCAAGGTAAGGCAGCACATGGTAGAGGGGCAACAGTTCATGGCAGGCAGAAAGTAGTAAAGTAAGAAGTGGGGAAGACAAGCCCCTTTCTGCCCCTTTCATCTTATCAGACTGCTGGGGTTAGGGTGGTGCCAGTCCAGTTAGTGGACTGACCCAGCCTTCACCCACTCGTAGTCCCAGCACTACACATTCAGGTCCAGCCACCTCCAGAAAAATCTCTGTGACCACATGAGGTTTTGGTGGACATCTAGATATGATCCACAATGACTAATGTTTGAGAACTATCTGGGTTCCATGTCTGACCCATTGTGTTACAGAAAATTGAGCCTCATGGGCCCTCTTCTCCTTGAAGCTGTCCGTGGCTTCCCAATGAAGCCCCAGGTTTGCTTTGTGCCTCAAGCACACAGCCCCATTGAAAATGAGCCAGGTTATAGCAGAAGAGGGCAGTGAAAGAAGAGTTTGCTTGCTTGTGTCCTTTGATTTTAGAAGTTTGTTTGAAGCTGTAGGATTCATTTTTGATTTCAAAGTAATTTCTCTAAAAATGCTCCATTGGGAAAGTAGGAGAAGCAGCAGTACTTAGGGCTGATCTCTGACTGTGCAGTTGTCTGGCATATCCTGTAGTAGAGGTGAAATAAAAGAACTTGCAGCCTTCTGTAGATTCCCTTGTTTAATTAAAATGCGTAAACTTGGCTTCAAAGATATACTTTTCACCTTTTTTAAAGAATTTATGCTCTTATAAGAAACGATACCCAATAAAATGACAGGTACGGAAGTTATTTAAATCATTGTTGAGGGGCTGGAGAGATGGCTCAGTGGTCTAAGGCACCTACTTAGAACAAGCTTGGCAAAGCACAGGGACCGCGGTTCAATCCCCCAGCACCACATGCCAGCCAGCCCCGCCCCCTGGTGGGCTGAGCTGGCCACACACACACACACCACTCTCTCTCTCTCTCTCTCTCTCTCTCTCTCTCTCTCTCTCTCTCAAATAAAATAAAAAAATAAATCATTGTTGAGAGTAGGTTTTGACCTCTGATAACCATTTATTTCCAAGAGTCATGATTAATTACTGAGATCAACATATTGCAATCTTGAAAACCTTACTGGGTAGGTTGGAAAAGATATTAATTTCCTCATGAGACTGTTTGCTCAAATTAGTGAACTGTAGCACCAAATATTAGACATTAAAATAAAAGTAGAAGATATCTTACTAAAAGAGTAAAACCAGGGCCAGAGACAGAGGGAAGAGAATGGTGACAATTTTATCAGAGAGCAGCTGTGGAATGTTCTTTGACAAGAATGTAATTTGCTGTAGCCTGAATACAGTATCTACTGTAACAGTCATGAATATTTTACAACATGATTATAATAAAACTTTGAATGCCTAATCTTTTGTTTCAACAATGTCAGTTTTAAGACGAACTTCGTGTTATCTATTTCTACACTAAAAGAGTATCAAATTAAAGAATTATCTCTTCAACAGCTTGGATCAAAGCTTATGTAGCCCCTATTAAAGAATATTGTTGAATGTTTGTGGCTCTAAATAGAAGTTTGACACAAAAGGTATTGTGATGTACAGCAGAATTAGTTAACAGATATATCTTTTCATACATTGTCCCTAGCAGTGTTTTTATTCATTATGACTTAAAGGCAATGGATTATGTAGTTCTGAGTCCTTTTTCATGTTTAATACAAGCAACAAGAGCTAGGGGTGCAGCTTGGTGGTTGAGCACTTGCCCAGCATGCACAGGGCCCCCGGGGCTCAATCCCAGACACTGGGGTGGGGGAGGGGGAGGAGACCAAACAAGCACCAGTGCTGTGCACAAACATAGTGAGAACGCAGTATGGTGTATAAATGATACTTATAAGTTGTATTTTAGTCTCAGCGCTTCAGCACAGGAGAAAGTAGCAGTATTGTCACATTATTAAGTTGAGAAAAAAATGGAGTCTGGACTCCTTTGCTTCACAAACAGCCATTGACTTTAGCTATGTGCAGTCACTGTTCTAGATGTAAATTCACCAGGCCATAAGACTCTTCCCTAGAACTTTATTCCAGTGGAACTTACCCAGATGTTCCCCAGAGCATCAACTTACTAGCAAAGATAGGTGGATGATGGCGTTCCATTTTTAATGATGTATATGCATAGTATGGGCCCCAAAAGTTCTCTAATTTTTCTAAATAGCCATCTCTCCCATCGAGCAGAATGTATTGTATTTTCTACAACACATTGCCTATGTTGGTAAAGGCAGTATATATTGGTAAAGTTCATCCACTAAATGGTTCCTTTTCACCATAAATATAATAACATTTTCAGAATTTTATTAATGTTTGCTATATTATTCCTTTGCTTCATTGACATTACGTATTTGAAAACTACTACTGGCTCAAATTCCAATTATTTTGTGGCAATGAGCATAGAAAAATCTTGTAGAGTGAGTTCTTTGTTCTCCAGTGGGAATATAGATTAATATAGCTTGTTAGAACTGAATTTGACCTAAGAGAACTTCCAGTTGTGTTGTCAACTTAGGGTTGAGGACACTGGGCCCAGAGATAGGAGAAGATCTGCAGTCAAGCAGCTCTGTAGAAACAGAGTGGGTGTTGTTTGAACTTGGATCTCCTCACCCTGTGTAGTCTCATGTTGTGCTCTGAAGTTCCTGATTGAGCTTTTGGTCATTTATTGTAGGTAGCGGATCACACTGGAAAAGAAGAATTCTGTTCTCCTCCTTATACACATTACGAAGTCCCCCCAACTTTCTATCGATCAGCCATGCTCCTGAAGCCCCAGCTGGGATTGGGTGCAGTATCCCGACTGCCCTCTACAAAGAGCAGAATTCTGATCGCAAGTCAGAGGTCTTCAGCGAGCGCCATCCACCCACCAGGACCCATCACCGCAACTGCCAGTCTCTACACTGCAGATCCCTCAGGTAAGCAGTCCAATAATTGCTGCATTTCCCTGCTGTAGGTTAAAATAATTCTTATGTAAAATGTTATAACTGTCTAAAATATGAATACCTGTTATCTCTTAAAAGGAGCCTTTTGCTATTCTGTCTTGTAGATACAAATATTCGTGAAAACTTATTTGCTTGCATCATCATTTTTCTTTTTAAAAAGAATTTTTAAAAATCATTTATTTATTTGGTACAGGGTCTCACTGTGCAGCTCAGACTTGTAGTGATCCTCCTGGCTCAGCCTCCCCAGCTCTGGGATTATAGGCGTGTGCCATCACGCATGGTTCTATGGTTCCAGGGAAAGCATGGCATGCCTGTGGTTCCTGGGAAAGCATAGCATTGGGTACTGAATATAGAACTTGGGTCCTTCTGCTTACTGGGCTGGCACTTAGACCACTGAGCTATTTGCCCAGCCCAACATTCTTTATATGTCACCTTTACAATGCTGGCTTTTGTTACCACTACCTGACTTCATAGAGCGTCTTCCTCTCTAAAACACTCTATAGTGTTTAATAGCATTCAAAAGATTTTTTTTCTAATTTGCATCTCTTGAATGACCAATGATGTTGAACATTTTGTCATAGATTTATTTCCCATTTGTACTTCATCTGAGAATTGTGTATTCATCTCAGATGCCCATTTTTGGATTGAGTCTTTGAATTTTGGGGGCCTTTCTTGGGGGTTCTTTTTTAAAAAACCTTTTTTTTAAAGTTTCTGCACATCAGAAGAAATCAATAAAGTAAAAAGAAAACCCATGAATTGGGAAAAATTTTAGTCAACTATGCCTCAGACAAAGGATGTATCTTTTTTTGATTATGATGATGATAATAGCCATTCTTTCTGGGGTGAGATGGAATTAGTTTAGTGTATGGTGATAGGCATGGGTCATGTTTGGCATGTGAGATTCCGTGCTCGCAGGCTGAGGGATCTGAACTGGAGCTAGAAAGCAATGCACAAGGTAAGCACCAGAGCTCCCCCAAAGTTATGACAGCTCTCTTCAGCAAGTGAGGTCCTCCTCCAGCGATGAGGAAAGCCAGGTTTCCATTAGGAAAGCCAATGCGATAAGCTTCATGAGGCTGAACAGTGCACCATCTTCAATCTGGAGGCAGGAATTGATGCTTAAGATGAGGACCCAAGCTTCTCCCAAGTTCCTTGGGAAAGCCAGTATGCTAAGCTCCTTCACCGGAACAGTCCAAGACAAGTAGTAGCTTCCAACAGCTCCAACAGCTTCTCCAAGCAGCATCCCTAACCATTCTGGCAGCTTCCGTTCTGCCTTTATGCTGCTGGCAACAACCCTCAGGTGGACCTCCCATACCCAGCACAACACTACTTTAATGCAGTTGGCTGTAGTAGGTTGATCACCTGTTAGAAATCCACCACAATAGTCATAAATACTTGAAGAGTTGACAAGAGTCTTACAGGGTCCACAGAGTTGCTTCTGGGACAGCCTCTTAGAGAAAACAGGAAGAAAGAGTGGCCCTAGGGAGCAGTATCAGAATTTATTTACCCACTTTCCATGTACTGCAGGTAGGGGTCTGCTTGTTTTACATTATTTTGGATAATGTGGCAGTTTGAATTTTTGTATATAATTGTCTTTATACTTTCAGGATAAATTATTTGAAGTTAATTAATGGATGCAGACATAATATCTTTCAGGCCAACTAATTTTCTAGGGGACTTCCACTGATTGTTTTTGTACTAGTGTTTCTGGAGGGTGCTATTTTCTGGCCATTCCTTTACCTCTGTTGAGCATTAACATTACTGTTATTGCTTTTCTTTCATTATTGCTGTAGACAAACATTTTTCATCTGTTTGCCATTATGTTACTCTGTAAGTTGTCATTTACTTGTGTAACTGTTGATAGTCTTAATGGTTGCATTTTTAATAAGCACATTACTTTTGATGGTTCCCATGATATCCACACTTTTGATGGATTTTTCTGCTGTTGGTGCTAATACAGGTCAATTATATAGCTTAGTCATTCAGTTGTGGTGATTCAGGGACAGAGGAACTGTTACCACTGTTTTCCTGAGAAGATGCCCTTTAAAACAATCCAGACAGGAAGTAGGGGGAGTCCCCTGGGGTGTCCAGTCTGTTGCATTCCAGGCAAAGGGAGAAGCCTGTACAAAGGCCCTGAGGTGGCATAAAGGACAAGGAAGTGGAGCAGAGTGAGTGAAAGAGAATGGCAGCATATGAGAATCGAGAGGAGATTAGCTTGGCAAGTGGGGTTGCATGGGCCCCTGCTGCCAACGTATGGATTTAGCTCTTATGCAGAGTGAGAAACCAAGCCTTGGAGGGTTTGGAGCTATGGCGGCATGTCCTGACTTTCAGTTAAGTGGGTTCTCTCTGGCTTACAGATAACATCTTTTGCCTTAGAAGTAAAACAACACATGTGGCATAGGCTCACCATCACCGTCCCATAGGATGGCCTTATTGAGAAGAGATTATGAGGACACAGAGGCTAAGGCAAGGAGAATGGTCAGGAGCAGTGCGGGGACCCAGGTGAGAGCGCAGGGCTTTGGACCACCAGTGGTGGGAACTCTGGGAAGGCAGTGCAAGAAGTAGCTTATCTCTCCCTGGACGTGGGCTGCAAGAGAAAAAAGAGTCATGGAAGAGGACAGAGTGTTCAGCTGGCACCACTGGAAGGATGAAGGCCATGACAAGAGGCAGGGCATGTGGAAGTACAGAGAGGAGCCAGGTCCAGCCGTGGGAAGGCTGGTGCATCTGGCCATCCTATGGGATGGTGGTGGTGAGCCTATGCCACATGTGTTGTTTTACTTTTAAGGCAAAAGATGTTATCTGTAAGTTGTTCTTTCTAAACTAAAACCTTAGTTTTCAGGTTTAATTGCAGTTGACACTCTATGATTAATAAGTGGGATTTGAGTTGTAATTTGTCCCTAAAAGGCTCAGCACCACTGCTGTAGGGTGAAGCACTGGCTGTCTGAGGCTAGACTTTGGAGGTCAGGACCTGCATGGCGATGTTAAAAAGCTAGTCCTCAACAGGTAACAAGCATTTAAAGCCGTGTCGCTCCCTTTGCGGGGCCACCAGTGCTGTCCAACACCACTGCACCTTTATTGTTAAGCTGTAAACTGGATGTGAACCTGAATTTTGTGCTTTTGAAATAGTATGATGTAACAGATGCAAAACTTTTTTATACATGAATGTGGGAAAACTTCAAATCACTAAATTTAAACTTAGTTGTGACTTGTCTTATAATACTCAAGGTTTCAAGAATATACCACTTGCATAAAAATATCATCGCCAGCACAGGCGGCAGATGGAGTCCTTCTAAGGTTGGCCTGTCTGTATTCACATAGTCGATCGTATGTTACTTTTTCACAGTTCACTTCAGTCCTTAGAAGTACGCATGAGAGTCCCCCTGCACCCTGCCATTCTGGATGTCTTAATTTAGAGAAAGAGACCCAGGAAAGTTGATGTGTATTGCTTCCACGAGATGTAGAAGACATCAAACCCTACTTAGCACTGTTGGGAGGATTGGCAGAGGCTCTGGAACAGACAAGAGCAGCAGAGGCAGCAGCTGCTCGTCTTCCTTCTTCTCTTTTTCCTCCTCCTCTGTGTGTTCTTTCTTTGTTTTTCAACATTGGAGTTTAAGTCAGTTCACACTAAGCTGTATCCCCAGCCCTTTAAAAAATTATTTTGGGACAGGGCTCACTAAGTCACTAAGTTGATAAGGCTGAGCTTTAACTTGTGATCCTCCAGCTTCAGCTTCCCAGAGTGCTTGGGGTACAGGTGTGCATCATCTAACCCAACCAGACAAGAGCTTCTTACTCCAGAGACTGGTTGTGGGAGGAAGCTTCAGAAGCAGTAAGCTCAGCTCTGCTCAGCCCTTGGGCCCAGGAGCCTGTAGCGGATCCTAGGTGGCAAGCTGCCCTCTTGCTTGGCCAGCTTTACTGCAGTCCCTTAAGCATCCGGCTACATGTTCTGGCAATATATATTTGAGACAGGGTCTCTCTATGCAGTTCAGGTTGGACTTTAGCTCACTTTGTAGCCCAGGCTAGTCTCAAACTTGCAACAATCCTTATTCCTCCACACCCTGAGTACTGGGATAGCTCTGCTTCCCTTTTTTTTTTTGTACCAGGAATCAAACTCAAGGCCTTGTTCTAGCCAGCTAGGCACTGCACCTACGAGCTACATCTCCAGCCCTGTACTTAAGTTTAGAGCTAAGAGGACTTTACTCTCCAGGTCTCTCAGGAAGAAGGGAAGGGCTATATTTGCATATTGTACTAATGGAGTAACAAAAAAGAAAACTGGCCAGCCCTGATGACACAGAGCGGCAGCAGAAGTGTTCCTCCGTCATCCGTTGTGCCTCCCTATTGACCATCACCGAGAAGCCACTTCCACTTCATTCTTCCCCTTCCAGAAATCATCCAGCGGCAGGGAGTGAGGTTCACTGAAGCAGAGAGTTCAAAATCTGTAGAGAAAACAGAAACTCTTCAAGAGTTCAGTAATCATCCATTGCGTATTCATCCACATGGCAGAAGTAATAATGTAATTTGGCAACATTAAAACTAGTGTCTCTGTTGTTTAAACATTCAAGCTTTCAGTAAGAAAGTCTTCAAGACTCAGCTGATTGATGGTCTGTTCAATCACAAATATGGAAAGATAGCCATAAATGTTAGCCTGAGATCCCCAATTTATAATTCACAAATTTAAAATACTACTAAAAAACTAAAAAGATTTTGTAACTCCTTTGAGGGTGTTTGGTCTTGGTCATCAACTGGACTGAACTGAAAGATGCCTAGGAAATGGGGCATGCGCCCTCCGGGGGTGCCTGTGAATGTGTTTCCAGATGTGAGTAGGATGTGAGTCAGAGAACTGAGCAGAAAAAACCTGTCACTGCGTGGGCAGCACTGTCCACTTGGCTGGGGGCTGAGACAGTGAAAAGCCCCTGATGGGAGAAGCTCCCTGTATGCTGCTCTGTTCTTGAGCAGGCGCGTTTCTTTTCTGATGCCAT